TTCAGGACCAAATGAGATTGCATAGGATATATATATATATATATTTTAAGTATATTCTGCTTTTTGCTGAGCTTTGCCACAGATGTGCCGGAGTGCCTTGGTCTTCCATCTCTTCCTGCTACCACCCAGGCTGTGCTGGATGTGTGGTGGTATCTGATGCTGTAGATGATTATATGGGCAGAAGTTGGGATTTAGCTTTGAGGTTTACTTTTGAGTTTGATGATTTAAGAGAAGGTGACCATTATATCTTAACCTAATAAAGTTCCCAAATAATTGTCAGTGTTAAAATAAATTATTCAGTCCTAAATATTACATAGAGACTTTCTTGGGTGTGTTTTTTGTGTTGTGGTTGTTTTGTTGGGTTTTGTTTTGTTTAAATTTTGGGTGATAGATATTCACAGTTGCTATAAAACCACTGCTGAAGCACAAGGCTGCTGTTCTCTGAAGCGTAACTTTTGGTCACTGCCTCTAAACAGATCTAACTTGCACCACTGTTAGTGGGTTGCAGAGTTCTATATCTTATTGTCTGGCTCAAGCTCTTTAGTTGCTCAGTTGAGTTTTCTTTTGGGGTTTATCTTTTTCCCAGAAGTAAGGGGAATGAGATGACTGTAGTTTGATATCCGTTGCTATTCCTCGACTGAGCAAATGAATGTACATGTGCAAGCAGAGCAGAGCAGCACAGTGTTATTCCTGCCTCTCTTGTCCAGTGGGTGCAATTTATTCATGTTTTTAATACATGAAAATCTTCCCAAATAAAGGTTATGTTTTCAGAAATATGTTATGATAAGTCTTAGAGGCAAGATCTTACGTTAGAAGTTTCTTGAACAGTTTCCAAAACAAGGCCCAGGCCATTCACTGCAAAGACAACAGAGACTAAACCCGCCTGTCATGACTTGTATTATCGAATGTGAAGTATTTCCACTTTTTATCTACTGAAATTCTTCTATTTTTAGCCTATGCTATTTCAGTTATAAAAGCTTTTTTTTTTTTTTTAATAAATGACCTGGTGGATTTGTCAGATTAAATCCTATTTTCTCTAAAATTAGCGGGTCCAGTGCTTGACTCAAAGGAAGTTAGTTCTTGCTCATTACATCATTCACATCTCTCTCACAGAGAGATAACACTAAGTGTAAACACTTGGAACTTCTTCATCCTGAATTGAACTCTTTGGCTAACTGGATTGGTGTCCTGTTTTTCTGAAAATGTTCCAATTTGTGACCCTCTCTCTAACAGAGCTAGCTAAGAGCTGAGTGTAGCGTTTCAGGTGATGCTGCAGCAAACTTGTGCTGAAAGGCCCTACAATCCCGTGAGACCCAATGTTTGTGTCTCTGAAGGCTGACAGGTCTCTTCAAGCGAGTGTGCTGTGCCTTCTGTATTCTCTGTGGCTGCCTCCCAAGCCTGGTTGAGAAGAGCTTGGGAAATAGTAGTGCAAGCATTGGCAAATTTGTCATCTTCTCTAGGACAATAGTCTGATATGGCAATCTTCTGAACAGAATTAAAAAGAAAGAGGGTCTGCAGTTGGCAGTAGTCTGCTTTTGTTATCTCCTCTCAATTAGAATTGACTTGTACGTGAGACGATTGCAGGTAGAGGCTTGCTGGGAGCACTGCCTTGCAGCAGATGCAAAGTAAACTCTAGTTTACTTTGAATCAGACATAGCCTGAAAACTATTAGTTATTTCAGAGTACAGTTATTAACACATCTTGTTTGACTCTCTTTTGGGTAGTGGAACTTTCAATCAATAATTCAGAGTTTAACAGTAATTTATACAAGGGTTTTTACTGAGGTAAGAAAAAGGCTGAAGTTATGCATAATCCTTGACTGCAGCTTGAAAGCAAACTACCTTATTGTCAGCTGTCTTCATCAATAGCTCGATGTCAGGAGTTCATACCTATTTGCTGAAGTGTTGTCGGAGGCCAAACATCTCGGATAGCTTGTGGTTAGTGAACGCAATGGAGAGACCTTCGGTGTTGTTGAATGATGAGCAGTTGCATTTCACAGGCTATTTTTAGTTCAGGGTGTAATAGTTTGTTTTATACGTCAGAAGAACGTTATATGTGCACATAGGATTTAAAAGTGTGGAATTAGCAGGGGAAATTAGTAACACACTTTGTAGACAGACTGAGAAGGACGTAACCATGGAATATCCTTTTATGATCCCAATGCTTGGTACAGCATGTCATGTATCTGATACAAAGCAAGGTAAAACATCTTTCCTTTAATTAAAAACAAAAAAACTAACTGCTTTTGCCTGAATATTGGATTGATTGACTATGTAAAGGAGTTACTTTGCTTAATTTTACTCCCCCCCTTTTTTTTTAAGGATGAATCCACGTTAGTTACTTCAGTCTTGCTTTTCAGGAGTCTAACCGAAAGTAAGAGTAACTTTGAGCAGAATATCTGAGAAACCGTTAGAGCTGTGATGTGACTCTGAATTGCATTTCTAACCAGATAATTTGTTAGAGTTATAAAATTAATACTTAGTGTAAATTTCAAAATGCTGGCATTCTTGTGACTATAGGGGAAGCTTAAATTTGTCCCCTTTCAGGACACTTGCTGCAGGTGCTTCCTGTAAAATTCGAAATCAAGGATGTAAGGAATCTGGTTTGCATATCATTTGATTTGGGCATAATAAAGGATGATAGCAGCATGGATTGCTTGCATTAGCTCTAAAGTATAGAGGTGTACAAGACTTTTAGAAACAACATTAAACAGAGTCTTCCTTACTTTGATCCAATAGCAGTGTTGAGGTCTTTGTGGTTGCGCTTCAGTGAATGATTCAGCTTTTTGTGTTTGTACCATCAACCATAGCTGAACACTAAAAGTATCTTCCCAGCTAAATAGAAGCAGTTAACTGGAAAACCTCACTTCTACCCTGATCATATTAGTGTTGTAACATGTAAACTGCCATGCTTATTTCTTCATTTGACAGCTCAAGGGAAACAATTACATTAGGATGTTTGTGATACATAAAACTACATAAAGATTCTGTGAGAGTATATAAATGTTTTAAAAGGTTGATAATTTAAAAGAATAAGTCTTCAGATTTTTAGAACTATTATGTCATTAATTCATTTTAAAAAGAGTATGTGTGCATTTGCATATGTGTTTTGTAACTGTTCCAGTGTGGAAGAGAATAGCAATGCAGTGCTTTTGAACCAAGTCAGTGTTCTTTTTCTAACACACACGGTCCTTAGAGCTGACTTTGACGAAAGAAGTCTAGTAGGGGTTCTTTGGCCAGTCTGTCTCCCAGCTCCGTTCAGTGATCTTCACAAAAACACTAGGTTCTCATCAGGGTCATTCTATGTCCCGAGACCTACTGCTCTTTTAATAGCAGCTATTCTAACAAAAGGCTATTCAGAGCCTAAAATACATCTGGGGTTTGTTTGTGTTTTTTTTCTCCTCCTCCCAAATGTTAGTTTAGCATACTGCTTGATTTGTTCAACCACTACATAGTATGCTAGGTTAGCAGCCCATATCCTTCTACGTGGTAGGTCAACAGTGCCTCCTAAACTGCTAAGTATGTAGTCATCTTAATTTGTAGAAGGTGCAGATAGTGACCTGAATCAGCAATACAAGCACTGTGTCAGTATCATTTCAAGAACTATGGTCTGACGTGTTTCTTAATGTCGCTTGCTATTGGCCCACAGTGCTAGTCCTTGAATCCTGAAAGACATAATTTATGCTTAATAGCAGGTGAAGTCCAAATGAAAGAAAATAAAGCAGGAGATATTAAAATAAATGTATACTTTGGGGTATTTGCTTATAACATGGAATTTGGTATTCCTTCATTTGTTCCTCCCCCAAGGAGTTGTACTCTGATTTAATAAGACTAAATCTTGGGTATGTTTCTGTCTCCCTAGAACTAACAGCCAACATGTCTAGCAAAAGGGCAAAGACAAAGACCACCAAGAAGCGCCCTCAGCGCGCCACTTCCAATGTATTTGCAATGTTTGATCAGTCGCAGATTCAAGAATTCAAGGAGGCCTTCAACATGATTGACCAGAACAGGGATGGCTTCATTGACAAAGAGGACTTGCACGATATGCTTGCCTCCCTTGGTAATGTCTTGAGAGAGGGGAGGGGAGTTCTGCCACTTACCTATCTACCTTATAATTCTTGCATGTATAAATAGAATAATAAAACATTTGCTAGCCCATTGCACTGGATCTGTTACCATGACTCTCAGTTGTGAATAAAAGTGATGATACTTTATTAAAAATGTCACCTATTGAAATTAGTGGTTTTGCTCATATATTCAATCTTTTCTTGAGTTTTTTTAAGCTATGTATATGTTTACCGTAGGGAAGAATCCAACGGATGAATACCTAGATGCCATGATGAATGAGGCTCCAGGCCCCATAAACTTCACCATGTTCCTCACCATGTTTGGTGAGAAGTTAAATGGCACAGACCCAGAAGATGTAATCAGGAATGCTTTTGCTTGCTTTGATGAAGAAGCGACAGGTACGTGAGTGAAATAACAGTGTACATGTATTACTTCTATCTGCTTTTGCAACAGTAAATACTTGTATTCATAGAAGTGTGTGATGAATTCGTTAACTCTGAAAATTCTGATTTCTGCACACTAAAAATCATGCCATGTATCCTCAGCAGCTGAAATTACCTTTTCAAACACTATAAAACTTAAAATCCGCAACTTCTGGCACTTTGGCTCTGTTGTTCCAAGACGAGAGAAAGGCAAAAAGATGTTGATTGGGAACTAGCATTGGAAATTTTGCACCAAAGCTGAATTTTAAGTTAGGAGATCCTTTGTAAGGGGATCCTTGTCTTCAAAGCTGTTGTACTTCTATGAAGAATTTGTTTTCTGTCAGCAGCTTATATCTACCTTCCCTCTGTTAAGGTGCACTTAAACAGAAAGAAAATTAATACAAGAAAAACCTTGTGTGACTCACAAGAGTGCTGGTAGAAGGAATCTCAAGTTATATAATGCTGCTTGCTTAGTAATGCCAAAAATTTATTCTTTGCAACCAATCTAGTAAATCTGAGTTTTGTCACCAATTTAAGATAAATTTAAAGTCTTTGAAATATTTCAGATTTCCCTGTGTTTCATGCACTTGTTGAACATTGGTAGTCAAGTTCCATCACTTTTTTTAGTGGTTTTATTAGGAATGCTCTAGACAAACGGATCCCCTTTGTGTAAAAGGTACACTTTTTAGAAGGCTCTCAGTACTACCAGGAGTACAGTAGCCCTGCTCTTGGAAAGAAAGTCCAATATGTGTACTGACAAATTGTATAATCTTTGAAACCACACATGCAAATTATAAAACGGCCTTTACTTGAAGTAGTGAGACCATGAAAATTAACTTAAGAAGCTAGACTTGACTGAATGCTCGTAATTATTTGGCAATTATAGTAATAGGCTTTAATGGCTTTGTTTTAATTTGCCAAGAAAGACTGTGGGTCTCTTTAATTGAAACAAAGAATCCAAAGAAAGAAATTCTCATTTATCTACTGGAAGATAAATGTTAAAACTCCTTTTCTTTTGTCCTCTTACATTGTGTTCTAGGCTTCATACAGGAAGAAATAGGTGTTATTAGATCCCAGCAGATCAGGCCCTCTTTTCAAAAATCTGGATGAAATGCATCAAACCTGCCCCCCTTCCCTTCTCATGCAGGGAATTTCTTTAGAATTCAATGAAGTGTTTTGGGCTCCTGGTGCAAAGGTGTATATTCCACACTGTGTGACTTTATTGCGTGTCTGCTGGTACGTCTGGCTTGCTGCTTTTGCAGACTGGTCTAAGAAACAGTTTCCCTTTTGTGTTTCTGTCTGTCTGTCTCACTCTAGGGTTCATCCAGGAAGACTACCTGCGAGAGCTGCTGACGACAATGGGAGACAGGTTCACAGACGAAGAGGTGGATGAGCTGTACAGAGAGGCCCCCATCGACAAAAAGGGGAATTTCAACTACATTGAGTTCACGCGCATCCTGAAACACGGAGCGAAAGACAAGGATGACTGAGCAAATCCCTGGATACCTGCAGATTATCTCTGCTTTACACTCATGTTTATTTTTGAGGGTTTCTTCCTGATAGAACTTGTTGCATGCATTTAGCTTTACAGCTTTTGCCTTTCTCAATGTATTTATCTATTCCAGGCCATTTAGGCACATTTGCACCTGTGTAATCAGACTGGAAGTGGGGAAAACATTGTGAGGAAAAGCATATGGGGACAAAGATCCATGGACATGATAGTCCAGGAAAATCTCAAATGTTTCTGGTTTAGCTGGATTTTTACATTTTTGTAATAAATGACACTTTGAAATAAAGATTGCTATATAGATAAATACCTCAGATTCTTTTGTGAGCACTGACATTTCTCTTATGCATTTACAAATACAGGTGTATTAACTGTATTTTACTTGCAGCTGCAAATCAAGCTGGAAAATTAATTTTGACAATGTTTTGTTCAGTGTCACACAGTTCTGAAAGGCTCCTAGCTGTATGTGCTGGTGTCTTTAAAATGCAGACAATGCAGCATTTGCATTGCTGTACAAACCTCTTACCTCAGTTTTTTTGAAGTGGCATCTGACTGGTGTAAGTAGCCAGCCAAAGAAATGCTTAGGGAAGATTGTTGCAGTTGTCTAATGGCGAGCAGAGAACATGTATGATTCTTAAGCAGATACCACTCCCAGCTTTTATTTCCTTTTAATATTGATAATTGTTTAGTAATATTTTCATGTCAAAGCTTGCATTCCTGTTTGCTAAGTTTTTATGCTGGCAATAAGTGGGAATTAGGCACGTTTTTTGCCTTTCTGCTGAAGGAATTTTTTGCGAAGGAATCTGCCTCTGAGCTACAGTCTCTCTGCTGGCACCAATTCACAGCAATACATGGCCAGAAGACCTACACAAAGCTTTACTGTTCTGCAGCTAATGCATTTGCATGTGAGAATGAGAGTGAAGCAGTTCTGAGAATTAACTTGGTAAAACCCTGTATGTGCTAAAGTCCTTCTTGCCTCTGAGAAGATTGTGCACTTTCCTCAGCGACGTTGGTAAAATGGCTTTTAAGCACGCAAGAATCATTCATCAGAAACAGCTCTGCTGATGCTGTTGTCTCAAATACCAAGAGAAGAGGAAGGTTGTTCTTTTAGTTCTTAGCATGACCATGTCCTTCCATGTGTCTCATTCTCTTGACTTCTGCAAACTAAAAAACATAAGGGGAATTTATCTTACCTACATATTTTATCAATTAAAGTGATGATCTCTTACCCACAAACCATTTGACTCAGCTAAAGGGCTTGTGAAGACTGGGCAGCATACACTGTAAGGAAGGTTTGTCTCATTTCCTGTGTGGTAGCACGAAGGCTTGGTTACTTAATCTTGCTTGTGTTCCTAGTAACGGCAGTTCTTGAAGATATTCTGGCTTTATCTTTGTAAATAACTTGATACTCAGTAGGCATGCTTTGATTTTTTTTATTTTTATTATTATTATTCCTGGTGGTTTCTTCTACTTCTGGGTTGAATTAAAATGAGTTTTCAGCCATTCTTTTCCCAATTTTGTGTTTTATCTGCTAACTGGAACTTGGCCTTAATTTTTCTTTTTTTCTCCTACCCAGACTACGTTCTTTGCTATACTACTTCAGTCTGCCACACCTGCTTCTGTTCTCAGAAGTTTGTTTTTAAACTGTCTCTTGCTCTTCAACCTCTTTGCTGAGGTATTCCTCCATGGGATGCCTGCAAGGTTGTAGCAACAGCTGATTATTTTGTTGTTGTTGTTTAGAAGGTAGTTTACAAGAGTGTAGGAAAGTTTCCACCTACACTGCCCATGTGACAATGGCAACAGTGCAGACATCTAGGAAACTGTCTTGTTGAAATGTTGCTATGTAACATTAAGCTGAAGAATGGTTACGCTGCCACTTCTTTAGACTGATCTTGTCCCATCTGTGCAATTCAGGATTATGCATGTACCATGCAAGCAGCCTGCGCTCAGGACAGATGTTAGACAGTCTTGATGACTTTTTCCCTTTGAATGTCTTAAATCCCGTAAGATTCAAAGGATCAGTTTTCTTCTGTTAGGAACAGAGTTCCCAAGCCATTCTTTTCCTGCTCTTGCCTTCTCAGTGAATTTTGGGTGCTGGTGTGTTAGTTACACCGAGTAACTGGGAGACAAGCCAGCTGGATTTTTCTTGCTGGAAATAGGTTTTGAAGTAGTGATTTTTCTAAATCATAAATGAGTTACATAAAAGAGAATCTGGTATCCTCCTTGAGAGGAAATTGTCCACTTCAACAACTTCTGTACTGCTGCTCTTAAATTTTGGACAGCTAGCTAAAATGTAGGATGTAGCTGCTTTTTGTTCTTGTCATGCCATGTGGGTGTTCTGTTTTTGGCTGCTCTCTCTGATTAGGGGGTGGGGACAGGGAATGGTATCTACTCAGGAAGACATGTTACTAAGGAATTTCCAAGGATGTTTGGGTATAACTAATGATGACCTTCAAAGTTCAGATTTCCCCAGTATCTGTATTGTAACATAGCAGACCAGTTAACATGCACGTGGGCACAAAACCCTTTAACTGCTGGAAAGTAACGAGACTCCCAGGCCCAGCCAAGAGACCATGTAAGAGCATCAGATGCATTTTGTAGCTAGGCAGCAAGGAATGTCCAGACAGCTGAGGCTGCATGCCGAGGGCTGTTGGGATGTGTCATCAATAATCCACTTCCAAAAATAAAAATAACTTTGGTCACTGAAACAGCTTAAGATTCTGATGACTTTAGACTTAGCATTTTGCAGTCAAAATCTTGGAACCTAATCTGTTCTCCCTTGGGGTTCATACATAATGGCCTCCAAGCTCCACGCCAGACAAAGCTTATGATGAAAAACTATTTTCATAGGCTGGTGCACACATTTAATAGTCTTATGTCTGCAGTGATGTATAATGCCCTGTGAAGCACTACTGAAAAGCAGTGATTTATTTTACATGACCTGTTCAAAGGCTACATCCACAAAGGTCGAATTGAAGCCAAAGAGCTATTGCAGCTGCATGAGAAGCCTCCAAAGAGGACAATGTTTGTGTGAAGTGCTGCCAGTATCTGCTTGCCTGCTGCGTTTTGCTTTTCTCCTAACTGTTGCAGGAGATACTGGTAATATGGAGCATTTTAATCACTCAGGACACACTTGTTTCTGCTCTTTATGCTGCATTTAAGCAAGTAAAACCATCTTTTATCGCACAATGATCAGATGACTGAAGCATTTCACAGCACAAAGTCAGCTTAATATACTAGCTCAGCAACTGATGTCACAGAGGTGGTGTTCGTACATGCTGAAGCAAGAATCCATTTCACCACTGACCCAAGAACTATCTTTAGATCGCTTGTTTCCAGGATCACTATCATATGTTGAGAAACACAGGGGCCCCATCCTGGTACAGGACATCCATCAGTAACAGCACATGCCTTTGTGTCCTGCCCAGTCCATCTGTTCCAAAAGCTGGAAAATATCTGAAATCTTGTTATCACATCTTTCTTGTGTCCGTGGCCGTTTGTTGTCCAGAATGTTACTAACTTACTATTTGGTATATTCCTGGGGTGTTTCAAATAGCAATGAATACCTCTTTTACCACACTGAAAGCAGACACTGTAAGTCCAGCTGACAGGTGAATAATAATTCGAGTCAGGAACATTGTAGGTATCAGCAGTTTATCTGCCATTGGTATTGCTCATGTACCCATGCTCCTATTTTGGCTTGCTTACTTAATTTTTCAAACTCTATTGTCATTTTTAGATAATGTCCTCCTTTGGAAAAATGATTTAGGATGACAGTCACTCAGAAACAGTACTACAGAAGCCAGGAACAATAGAGAGGCAAAAAGAACTCAGTAAATGCTTCTCAAAATGCAGCTTAAAAATAAGTTACCATGAAATGCTGAAAAGCAATACTGGAAAAAACCAAATTGCACACAGCTTGTATTCATTGCACTCTGAGCAGCAACTCCATGGAGATCACTGTTTTCCTAAACTTTTGATATATTAGATAGGAAACTTTTAATCTTAAAAAAAGGCTGATCCTCCCATTTTCCTCTGCAGACCGTGGGCCTGTACACATACCATTCTCTGGGACCACTTATTTCGAGCAGGAGCAAACTCAGGTGCTGTGAGCAAAGTGCACAGGCTGATGTGGTAGCACATCCTTTTGTAATCCTGTGCTAGACCTTGAAAAAAATAAATGGTATGGCAAATTTCAATATACAGAAATAAATACTGCCAAGAAATCTTTTAAAACTAGAAGCGTGATATTCCCTAGAGAACAGATCATACATGGTATTAAAGATACCTACTCAGGAAGACATGTTACTAAGGAATGTTTGAGTATAACTAATGACCTTCAAAGTTCAGATTTCCCCAGTATCTGTATTGTAACGTAGCAGACCGGTTAACCTGCAGGTGGGCACAAAACCCTTTAACTGCTGGAAAGCAACGAGACTCCCAGACCCAGCCAAGAGACCTTGTAAGAGCATCAGATGCATTTTGTAGCTAGGCAGCGAGGATCCTTAATAGGCATTGCATCACAGGGCTTAAGGGGTCATGAAGTTTGTACAAATGCCATAAATCTAAGGGAAGATGTTTACATGTTTCTCGGAAGCATTTAATTAACAGGAGAGCAGGAAATCAAACTGGCTCCTGGAAAATCCCAACCATTTCTGCGTGCAGACTCCCCTGCCACGCAGCCGTGATTCAGTCCCTCAGTAAACCAGCCCTGCACTTTGGTAAAGCTTGGGAGTCAGTTACAAATGCTACAGGATTGGGCAGGTCAGGACTAACTTCAATACATGTGCCTAAAGCAGCAGATGGTGCGTGACTGCAGCACTCATTTCAGCATTCTTGTAAGCTGTCGCTGCTCAATTTTGCAAAGTTTATTTAATCCTCAATTTGTAATTTCCTCACTTTGACTATTTTAGGATATCAGTGAGTACAACCTCACAAAATATTGAGCTATGTTTTGCTTTGTTTTTTTTTTTTTTCCTTATGAAAAGGAAATAAAAGGGCATAGCTTCTGGGGAATTAACAGACAACATTTCACAATTATTTCCAGCCTCTGTCTAACATATTCAAGTGAGTGGGTGTAAAATGAGGCCTGGGAGCCCTGTCTTAGTATTTGCTAAAACAGAGCTGATGTCAGACACAGTAACTTGAGCCTGACTTAGCACTGTATCTAACAGACAGTGTTTTGGTTTTTTCCTCTATCACATTCTTTTTCCTTAATTGTGAGCTAACCCTCTCTAACACAACAGGTTTTATACGGGCAAGGTATTACCACCCACAAGCTCGTTGATTTAGAAACAGCTCCACCAA